GAGTGTCGCATGCGGATATGTGAACCGAGCACGGTAAGGTTGATGTAATTTTAATAAAATTATTTTACTTAGAATGTAATGTTAATGTTATTTAATGATTTGTTATGTATATATTTTGTAATATGATATAAAAATATGAGAGAAATAATTAGCTATTTAATTTACTAAAAAATAAATTAAAGTAAACGAAATATTATTTAAAAAAAATATATTATAACTTAAAATATGAAGTTTAAGCAATTTACATAAAATAAAATGATATACTTTTTTTATTTTAAACAACATAGTCGATATTATTATAATTAAAATAAAATTACTTAAAACTATACATTATTAACTTTTTATTTTATTAGTTTTTTTTAGTACTTTTGATATTTACTGTTAAGTGAGTTTATACTTTTAAATAGGGGCAGAATGGTCATTTTTTCATAAACAGTTGTTCTACAACTGTTTTCTAACAGCTGCAACAAACAGGCAGCTAACTTCCACGCAGCAGCTTTGTGGAGCAGCATAGCTACAGCTGAAAAAGCTGAGAAGTTGTAGCTGCCCCAAACAGAGAGTTAGAGGTTATTGAGAGGTATTGTGGGGTTAATCCACATTATACTCCCTGTAACATTCATATAATATACTTGAAACTTACAAATATATGAAAACAGAAACACAAAACTTGCTAGAATGTACATGTAGGTTACAGGGAGTATAACACAGATATAACCCCCCAATACACTTTGAATAACCTCCCTGACGCACGCAGCGCTTCGTAGGTCTTACGTATGCAAATTTTCTCCACCGAATGAGGTGAGGGAGTTTTGGGGGGAAAGCGTGCGTTTTATAAAGGATTTCTTATTTTTAATATTGTTTTATAATATTTATTATTTTAAAATATTGATATGTGTGTTATTTGCTCGTGCACGAAATCATAGCAACACGAGTGTCTTTTAGAACTGACATTTCAGACTCACTTGTAATGTTTGTTACTTCATATGGGGTCGTTCGAACAAGTTCATCAACGATCGTGTCAAATTAATTTTGATTCAAGCGTGACACAACGAATGAAATATTTTGATCCGACCAAAGTCGTTCAACAAACAAAATATTGAACAGTTCATGCTTAAGCAACAACCAAAGTCAAACATACCACTCTCGGCAGCGGTCGCTCATCGCACGCGTCGAAAGATTTCCTTATGCCTTTTTCAATCCCTATAGGAACTCAACTTGAGTCTCAATATGTTGGTTTTAATCGACTCAACTAAAAATTGAGGATTCGAAACCACCCATATAAAAACTAAAATGACTAAAGAATGGCTCAAATTTCAAAATAGTGTGGGTCCTAGTCTACTTCTCTAGGAGAGTCAAATGGGAAAATCTTAAGGCTAGATCCCATGCACTAAAGAGAGAGAAAAGAATACCTCATAAAAATGAGGTCAACAAACCTATTACCTGTGTTGCCCTCCTCACATTCAGGTATCTCCTATGTCATAACAGTTCGTTCTCTCTACCCCACTCCCCTTTCTCCTCTCTCACGTCTTTGCCCTAGTGATTCCCTCTCCTCTCTCATCATGAGAGAACCGCCGAGAATTACTTGTTCCCTTTTTCGCTATTATCCTCTGGTATATTCTTACCTCTATCTTTGCTCTTTTTTAAATTTTCTATTTGTGGTTTATGGTTGTCGTGTGTAGCTTGATTTTTTAGGTTTGTGGCTTTGCTCTATAAAGAAATGGTTTCTATGAATGCTCCAATGCAATCTTATTTTCTAAGAAATTTTTAGTTTGTGGTTGTAGTGTGTGGCCTGGTTTTTTTTTTATTATTTAGGACTTTGTTCAATTAAGAAATTAATAATCTAAGAGGGGAAAATCACCATATTACATATAAATTTTATTGTGAAATTTGAAAGTTACTAGTTATTTGCGGTTTTGGCTCTTTGCCCTTTGTTGTTTTTTTTTTCGTTGTAGTTTCTGGCTGGCTGTTTGCGGTTTGTGGCGTTCAATGGAGAAAATGAATGTAGAGAGAGGAATATCATTTTTCTATGAAATTTAGAATTTTTTAGATCTATTTTGTTTTGGATATTTTTTTTTGTGCTTTCTAGTTCATATATGAAGTGCATTTCTTTTTATAGGCCTTGCATTTTTAGTTCATCTTGGGTTGGTGACCACAGGGTTAGACAAGGGAAGGTGGCATACAAGGGTCTGTGGAATTCATATAGAAAGTGTATTTCTTTTATTGTGTGACATGTGAAGGTTTTCTGAGGGGGTGGTTGTTATTGATGGTTTGCAACCACTATGTTTGATTGGTTGGTATTGTTGCTTTGCGACCACTGATGATAAATTTGTGTTGGTGGTTGTGATTATGTTTTAATTGCTATTGGTTTATTGGTTGTGATGGCGGCGTCATTTTTACTTGGATTGAAAGTGCTAGAAGACTTTTGATGATATGAAATAATACTTATTGAACCCTCTCGTATTGAGGGCTCCCATACGGCCATACCAGGGAAGCCTCTTATATAGACAAATGTGTTGAATGCATCAATATGAATACTATGAGCTTAAGAATCTCAATTTAGGATAATTCATAAGTAAAAAAAAAAGCTTTATAATAAAAAGAATCTTTTCAATAAAGCAAAAAGTGTGAAAGGCTTCATAACTAAAAATAACTGACCAACATCCCTGAGAAGAAGCTTGAGGTGAGTGAAAAATCAGAAATCTCAATATAAATAACATTCTGATTTCAAAATTCTCCTGATAAGATCTTTAGGATATTATGTTCGAAGAATTATTATGTGACATTAGAATAATTAATAAATTAATAATTGATTTAAAGTCATCTCTAAAATGAAATATTTTCTTAATGCCCGCATAAGAATAATGAGGCATACTTAGACTAAGTGTGAAAAGAATTAAAAGGAAAGGAGCTAGGGAAAATAGTATTCAAGGAAAATTCTACATGGACTTGAATTTTACAAATCTTATATTCTGCATGAGGTATCTAGTCATGAGTCTAGGACGCCTACGTGAGAGCTCCTCATATAAGATCAATTTGATATGTCACGCCAAATAATTTATGATAATGGCTCGATCGAGGATAAAAAAATAGAGATTATGGGAAGCCTTGTAAAAAAATCTGTATGCCAATAAAAAAAATGAATGACATAAGAGAATCTGAGAAGCTTAGTGAGCATACGGTACAACATACATTAACTCATTTGTTTTGCGCTAAATGTGTTGACTGCAAGGTCTGACAACCCTTTCCTTCGAAAGAATGACTTATCTTCTTATGAGTTGTTGCCCATACCGTGTTACCCTAAATGCGGCGGCTCTTCTTTCGCAAGAATGACTTGCCTCTCATGGGTTTTTGCCAATCTCTCTTACGCCTCGGACGTCGACCCTCAAGTATGACAATCCTTCCTTAGAAGTTGACTTACCTTTTGCATGGGGTTTCACCCATCTTTTTTTACGCCTCACACATCAACCCTCAGGGTTCAGTAGCCTTTCCTCCGAAAGCGAGCTACCTTCATTGTTGATGGATGCAAACGGATCTCATCCAATCAGTTCTATCAAAGGGCGATGTTTGAAGAGATATTTTTCTTAGCCTATTTTTCATGTACTCATTGTACTTTATGAGGATATTATTTTCTCAAAGTGCACACACTTTGTAATCTTATTTTTTGAGCAATAAAGTATGTTTTTGACCATCTCTTCATTACGTGATATGTTGTTGACCTCACTTAAAAGCTATAAAAACGTGTAAGAAATTATTGTAATTGAAGAAATAGAAGAAGTCGGGTTAAAAAAGAAACCTAATGATAGACTTTACTTATGAACACTTCATTCAACAACGACGGAAAAAATGACCAAATCAACACTCTTTAAGAAAAAAAAATGACAACCATGGTTGCATTATTAAGACGTGGAATTTCTTTGATGTTAGGTTCATCAAAGAGATTTGATTTTTTGTTTGTTGAAACTGCACATGCTTTAAGATTCTTATGGATTAATTTTAAGATTTTTATTGAGGATTGATCATAACTCCTATAATTATAAATATACTATTATTTATTCATGCTCAAAAGTAATATGTACAACTCAAAAGTAATATGTACAAGCAATGCCTCAAATTTTTTTTTAAGGTACAACTCAAAAGTAATATGTACAAGCAATGCCTCAGTTTTTTTTTTTGAAATTTATAATTTTGAAATTTATCAAATTGTATGTCTTATAGTTATATATGTGACCCCCAACTTTGTTAAAATATTAATTTTTACATTTATGAATTATTATTTTAAAATATTTTTTTAAATGCTAACAATATAAGCACAATGATATATCAACAAAATGTTGCTTATCACCTATGGCTCTATCGGCCTTTTGAAGTAAATCGACGTCGGAACCCTAACCCGACAGAGGGAGGTTTTATCGGGGAAAACTTCGTAGAACAAAATCATGGAGGAGACGACGGGCCGCGCCGCTGCTTCCGGCGGTGGAGTCGGGGTTTCGCTCAAGGATCAGGGCAATGAGTTTTTCAAAGCCGGGAACTACCTCAAGGCCGCCGCACTCTACACGCAGGCCATCAAACTTGATCCCTCAAACCCAACTTTATTTAGGTTTATTCTTTTTCTCTTCCTGATTTTTTAATCATACTCTTAAAAGTTTAGAGGAAAAAAAGCTACGCTAATTGATGAATAAAGTCTGGAAAGTGAAAGGCTCTTTACAGTGATAGCTCTGCAACTGTTTTGAGCCTGTAATACACTTTGAATTTCAGAACAAATTCTCTTTGTTTGAAGTTGGATTTCTTTTTTCTTTGGAATTTGTTCAATTGAAGGATAGTATTTGCTGAAAAATTAAAGCTTTTGAAATCGTAGAAGAATTCAGGTATGGAGTCAAAGCACAGCTTATGGTTATAATATACTGATTGTGTTTTGACACATTAAAAGTAAAACAAATATTCTTTGAATACTAATGATACAGAGGATTCTAAACATTCATATTTACGTACATATGACTTTTGGTGCTTTAAACCTATGCATGAAATGTGTATTTCAGTTTAAAAAATGATAATAGTGTTGTTTGTTATGTGATATTAAATATTTGAGTCCTATATGTTAGGTATATAACATGTAAATACATTAGAATTGTGTGCTATGTAAGTAAATGCCCCAAACTTAAAATGTTTCAACATCATTTGTATTTACATAAGGTATTCAAAATGAGGTCTCCGTTACGAGGGCTTCTAGCCTAAGGGCAAATTTGTCTTTTGTAAGCCTAAGGAAAAATTAGTTTATTATTATTATTATTATTATTGGGTATAAATAAGCTTGTTATATCTAGAGTTAGGTCATGAGATTGGATTGTGAGTCTTAGGTCTAGATTTTGGGAGAGATTTCCAACCTCTCGAATTGTAAGAAGTGAGAGAGATCGCCTACCTCTCGAACTGTAGATGCTTATCTTTTGTATTTGTGTGAGTTGTTTGGATTATTGCAATAAGAATTTTTGTTTGCCCTAATTTCTATGAAAATTTGTGTTGATTTCAGCGTCGAATTGTATCAAGTTGGTATCAGAGCACGGTTTTTGGTAGGTCGCCACTGAATTGTTGCAGACGTTTGAAACAGTCGTCGACGTGAGAAATAGCATAGAAGTGTTGACTGAATACCTTCGTGACTGAACCCTGCGATACAATCGCTAGCAAAGAGGCCACCACTGGGTCACAACGCAATGGGAACGCTTCAATACTAAGGACCGCAACTTACTAAGATCCAAAAATCCTTCGTCATAGAATATTGTGATACAATTGTGCTTAGAGCTTGTTAGGAAGGAGACGAAGGGATCGCAAAGGGGCATGATTTGCTATGAAAGAGATGACTCAAAAGTGATCACGACTCACATTGATCGCGATTACGGGACCACAGCGGAAGCGTGGCGATATATCACAATATATTCACAATTAGAGTCGCTGAGAAGCCGCGCGATATTGCGGGGAACGGAGGCCAAAGCTCCCAACTTTCAAAAGAGGCAGCTAAGAAGCATGGACAGGATCACAGTGTACTGTGCTCTAAGATTGCGTGAACGGGGAGCGTTGGGGATCACGACAAACAGAGACCTGCTAGCCTTAATTGCGGCTCGATTTGCTGGAGTTTAGCCTGCTGGGGAACTGACGAGGTCGTGACTTACATTTCAGTTGTAGCTTGATCTTGCTACAAGCTGACCAGTAGGACTGTGGCGTGCCTCGTATGGTACAGTCCCAATTCTTGTAACTATGTGCAGGTGTTTTCGTCTTTTGGTGACAAAAAAAAAAGGAATAATGACAACTAAGAAAATAGATAATTTATAGAAGAAAATAGAGGAAAAAGATTGGTCAATTCAGATCTCGGATGGAAGAAATGTTCGCTGCTATAGATGATAGATTTTCTTCCATAGGGAACCGAGTGGAGGATCGATTCAAGAACATGAGGAAATTCGAGAGATGATAAAGAAGTTTATTGAGATGCAATCCAAAACTCTGTCGACGGTTTAATTTGCAAATTCTACTCAAGGGTTGACCGAAGATTCATTGGCTAAGTCAAAAGGAAAATAGATCGATCGTGAGGAACACGAGGATATCCACCATCACGAACCCCCTCTTAGGGTTTCAATTGGTGGTGGATCAGAGATTTATGATGAAAGTGGGTGGGCCAAAACGTGAGGAAGAGATTATGCAAAAGGTATGAAAGAAATGATGAAGAAGATAATAGTGTTTGACACAAAACCGGCTCCATCCACTGCGGGGTCAAGCGATGCGGGAACAGACTCCAACAGCAGCAGCCAGAAGGATTCACGCGACATCAGGACAACATCGCCACTTTAAGCGGATCGGGAGCTGTGGTATCAAGTGAAAAAATTATGAGCTAACTCGAGCGGCAGCACTTAGAAGAAATAATACGACATTCTGACGGCTTTAACAAACAAAAGCAACTAGGATCAAAGTTGACATAGATGGAAGAGACACCTGATACTAAGTTGACAGAGATTATGTTGATCGATAAGCTACGTGATGAAGCTATTTGGGGCTGCTATATTCTCTAAGATTGACCGAAAATTAAACCACCATCCCGATTCAGATGCGGCTGAAGGATGTGCACAAGTCTACATTTTGAATTTTTCTTGGTCACTATGAATTTCTGATTAAATGGAAAGGATTGCCTTATTATGACATTAGGTGGATGCCACCCAACTTGATCAAGTAGCAGTCTCATTCCCCCCCCCCCCCCCCCCCCTTGAGGATAAAGTGTATTTTGAGGAGGGAGTATTGTTACGAAGGCTCCTAGCTTAAGAGCAAATTTTTCTTTTGTAAGCCTAAGGGAAGTTTAGTCTTTTATTATTATTATTATTGTTATTATTGGGTATAAACAAGCTTGTTATGTCTGGGGTTAGGGATACACAATGAGATTGGATTGTGAGTCTTAGGTATAGGGTTTGGGTGAGATTTCCTACCTCTTGAATTGTAGGAAGTGGGAGAGATCGCCTACCTCTCGAACTGTAGGTGTTTATCTTTTGTATTTGTGTGAGTTGTTTGGATTATTACAATTTCTGTTTGCCCTAATTTCTATGAAAATCTGCTTGGATTTCTACGTTGGTTCGTATCAGCCTCTTAGTGTATGTTTTCTAAGAAAATGCCCTTCGAAGCATGGTACCTTTACTTCATTAACTTCATAAAAAAACGCTAAAAAGCTGCTTTGCATTTAAAAACTTTGCTTTTACCAAAATTTCACCCGGTTAAACAGCTTCTTAAGTGAGAAAAGATTACTTTCTTTTAGAGATTTGTATTTTTAATTATTGTTATCTTCCCTGTCATTTTTGGCAGCAATCGGGCTGCAGCATTCCTTCAATTGGTGAAGCTCAACAAAGCACTTGCAGATGCAAATACTGCAATTACTCTCAACCCTCAGTGGGATAAGGTTTGGAAACCAAGTTATTTTTTTCTCTTCCTGATCCATTTATTTTAGGGGCTTTTACATGCTTATCACCCAATTCCTATGTATTTACATATCTAACTCCTAAGCTTTACTTTTTACATCTATACCACCCAAAATTTTCATATCACATAAAAAGCAACACTATTTTAAATTTTAAAAGTGAAATGCACATTTTTATGCATAGGTAAGGCGGCATGTATTTAAAAATTAAAGTTTAGGTGTTAGATATGTAAATACATAGGAATTAAGTGTTATTTATGTACATGTTACTTGTACGAGTGCATTCTTGCATATTTGACTGATATATTTGGTGTGATTTTAGGGTTATTTCAGAAAAGGGTGTGTTCTCGAAGCTATGGAGCGCTATGACGATGTAAGTCTACAATGAGAAGTATAATGATTGTTTAAGCTTATGGAGATCAATATCATTATAGCTAGCTCGTGATTAAAATTCATTGGTACACAAATCTTTGTTAACTGGATTAGTTTCATTGTCCTATTTTTCATGCACTGTAATTTTATTAATCTAAAACTTTTTTATCTTTCAAGCATAAAATTTTGAATGAAATGCTTCTTTTTGTTTACCCCCACCCATTTCTGGAATGGGGCATTTACATACATTGCACATGATTATTATTTATTTACATATCTCACACTCACACCTAAACTTCTATATTTATTCTATATTTACACACATAGCACATAAATCTTTAATATCACATCAAAAATAACACTATTATGATTTCTTACAAGTGAAATACATCTTTTTCATGCACAGGCTTAAAGCACCAAAATGCAATATATGTAAATACGAAAGTTTTGGCGTGAGAAATGTAAATACATAAGAATTGTGTGTTATGTATGCAAATTTCCCTTCTGAAAGAGGAAATTTGTACCAGTGGCCTTATCTACAAAATGAATGCAAGGTCTGGCTCTTATGGAGATTTATTTTAACTTAAAACCATTTTTTTTTTAATTTGCTTTCGCTTTTTAAATTGATAGAATATCCTTAAAGTTGATTTTCGTTATTTGTTTTGTATAGGCTGTTGCTGCATTCCGAGAAGCTTTGTTGTACAATAAACAGAGCTTAGAAGTTTCTAAAAAGATTAAGAAGCTCACTCAATTAGCAAAGGACAAGAAAAGGACTCAAGAACTAGAGAACATCAGGTCTAATGTTGACATGAGAAAGTATTTTGAGCCCTTTAAATCTGAACTGGTGAGCTGGGGATATGTAGAGTGCTCAAAGTGCTTCAAATCTTTTTGAAATTCTTATATAAGTTTTATTTTTTTATTTTTTTTTTAAACTTCAACCATTTCTCTATATGTGTACGGTTTGGAACTCCTAAGTTTGTATGTGATTAAAGTCCTCTTTTTATCTCTATCATCACCATCGTTGTTAATTTATCCTAACTATTTGGGGTCAGCTTTATGAATTGTAATGCTCCATTTGCCCGTGTTGAGTGTTGCACAAGTTTATAAACCTATTTTGTGCTTTACAATCTAATATAAGTTATTAGGGGAGTCAAAAGTTGACCTGACACGCCAATTTAAGTTGAACTCGACTCGAAAACTTTGGGTTCAGGTTGAACCAAATAATTTTTGGGTTGATTCAGGTCAGGAATCCTAACCAATTTAATATTTTGAGTTGGATTCAGGTTGACTTACCAACCCAAAATTGACCAGAAATTGACCCACCAACTCGAGATTAATTCAAGATTGACCCGAATTTGACCTGGTTTTGTCTAGAATAGTTGTTATGTCTTATGTTAAACTTGTTATATGAGTTTGGGTTGAAGGCGGGTCTTATTCAAGCTGGGTTTTCTGCCCGTTTAATAGTCAGGCTAAGTTTGGGTCGCAAACAGTTTTGGGTCGAGTTAATTTTGAGTTAGGCCCGAATCTAATCTTTGAATCCGATTTGACACTACTATAAGTTATGATAGATCTGCCTTTTCTTCATCCTTAATTTTTTAACATAATTTTTATCAACTCATTTTAATGTTATGCCTTCTATCCTTCTATATGCTTGAACAAATCACCTAGACTTATTTCCTGTTACTTTGTCTACGATAATGTGGCTGTCCCTCTAATAGAATTATCTTTTCATTCATCCTTTTTAAGTTTTGTCATACATCTATCTTAGCATTCTTGTTTCCATCACACTCAAAGTGATCATTAATAAATTTTGAATTATTAAATACTCTGGACTTCTACAATATAGATGGCATTATTTTGCTTTTAAAGTTTTCTCTTTTACAAATAGTAGAATACATCTTAGGATATACTGAAAAACTGTTCTCATTGTTTACACGACCATTTTTGATAATGTTTGGATGCAATTAGGTATATTTATAGAGTAGTATAAATTAGAAATTTAAGTTAAAGCTGATTCTGTGCATTTTGTAGGATGCGAAGTTTGGCGGCACAGGAAATGATGAGGCATTTTCTTTTTTTGTCAATTTAATGGAATCTGCTATAAAAGTTTGGCATGAGACAGGTAAGGTAGATCCGAAAGTATATTTTCTTCTTGAGAAAGAGAAGACGCCGGTTGATAAATATGCCCCTATGGTCAATATTGATAAGGTATTTGAGCTACCCATTGATGTATTTTTTTCTTCTTCTTTATATAGAGTTTGCTATTGCTTCTTTCAACTGAGATCATTAAAAGAAGGGGCATTTACATATGTAGCACACAATTCTTATGCATTGATGTATCTCACGTCTAAACTTTTATGTTTACAGACATAATAAAATATTTAATATCACATAAAACATAGCACTATTATTAAATTTTAAAACTGAAATACATCTTTTCATTGATAGGCTTAAAGAATCAAAGCGCTATAAACATAAATAAGAAGTTCAGGCATGAGATACATAAATACATAAGAATTGTGTTAGGTATGTAAATTTTTTTCCATCTCAATGCCTTGTTTGGGAGACGACATCATCATATATTTTCTCTCTCTATATATATTTTTGCAGGCATTCGAGTCACCTCACACACATAGCGACTGCTTTTCTTTTTTGAGGCAGTATGCTGAGGAGTCATTTTCGAAGGCTGCTTGCTTGGTAGCGCCCAAGAGCATCATAGCATATCCACAGGTTTGTTCTTAATAATAATTTTCATTCTCATAGTAATTGTTTGAGAAAAGTGTCAAAATTTCTCCTGACTTTTTGTCATAGTAATTGTTTGAGAAAAGTGTCAAAATTTCTTTGTACAGTTTGAGTATTTAGAGGGGGTTCATTTTAGTTTGTGAATTTATAAAAGTGTCAATTTATTCTCCAGATTTTCTTAATATGGGTTGAAATAGTCCTCAATGAGGATTATTTTCGCCCCCATTAAAACAACTCGTGTAATGTAGTATTTGTATAAACTTGGGACTAAAATGATCCCATGTAAATAGTCAGAGGAATATTTTGCCAATTTACTTCTAATGTTTTTGCGATTTAAGAATCCTTCAGGTGCATATGTAAGTAAGCATATAATATTCTTAGGTTTCTGGTTTTTCCCTATATATTCATTGATCTAATTTTATCTCTCTTAAAACGCTCGACATCTTTACCTTGAAACTGTTATGTAAGATTTAATTCATGAGGATATTTTGTTCCCTTGCAGGTATGGAAAGGTCAGGGTTCAAGAAAATGGAAGCATGGGAATGCTGATGGATTCTTTGTACAGTTTGAGTCTCCTGTTTTACGTAAACTATGGTTTGTTCCCAGTTCAGCAGAGAAGGGCCAAACATTCTGCAGGTAGATTTTTTCCTTTGATATTTTTTATTATTATCATTTTTTAGTAACACGGTTATTGCCGGTCCCAAGTGTGAAAAATGGAGGGTTGCGTTAGGTAGTCGACAACCAGCGCAAAACTTGTCGAAAAAAAATCATTACATCAATCATTTTGATCATTATGTAAGTGCTAGGGTGTCCCTGGAAGCGATGTGCTATATGACTTCAATACAGTGAAGTGTGCTAGGGGCGCTACATCGGTACCCGGGTGTAGTGTCAAATAAATAAGGGTCCCACATTACAGACAGATGCGGGTAAAGAAATTAGTCTATGAAACTAATATTAGGATAAGAATATATGTACTCTCAATGGTAAATTAATTGAATTAGTTGATATTATGATTCATAGAAAGATAAATATCTTATGTATTCAAAAAACTAAATGGGTTGAAGAAAAGGCTAAGGAGATTAATAACTTAGGTTTTAAATTTTGATATTCTGGTAAGAGTCACACTAGCAATGGTGTAGGTGTAATTATAGATATGAGTTTAAAGATATTGTTGTAAAAATTAATAGTGTTGGAGAGAGAATTATAGCCCTTAAGATTATTGTTGATATTAAGATTTTTAATATTATAAGTGTTTATGCTAGATATAGGCTCTAAAGATAAATTATGGAATGAATTAGAAGACCTAATACAAATAATACCTTTTGAAGAAAGTATTTTTATTAGAGGAGATTTAGATGGACATGTCGGTAGAGTGGTAGAAGATTTCAGAAATATTCATTATGACTACGATTTTGGAGTGATTAATGAAGAAGGTAGAACCATATTAGATTTTGTTCTAGCGTATGACTTTGTTATTACTAATATTTTATCCAAGAAAAGAGATGATCATCTTATTACTTAGAAGAATTGATATAATAAATGACAACTTAATTATTTTTTTATGAGAAGAAGTGGTTGTTGAGATTGTAAATATTGTAAGGTCATCCCAAGTGAGGATTTAAGTACCCAACTTTGATTATTAGTCCTAAATTTTAATATGAAGAGTTGTAAAATAAAGAATACTAGGATTTTGCATCATAAAATTAGATGGGGGTATCTAAAAGACATAAATAATCTAAAAAACACAAATAAAATTATTTTTATGAGTAAAATTCAAGATTTCAAAATC